TGTTGGCTGGTATGAAGCAGTGGCCACAAACGAACATGGAGAGGCCAGACAGCGGGTGAGACTAGAGATTGCCGAGCATCCCAGGTTCCTGAAGCGTCCAGATGAGACCTTCATCATGGCCCGCAAGAACGGAAGAATCGAGGCCAAGTTGGTGGGCATTCCATTGCCAGAAGTGCATTGGTTCAAGGACTGGAAACCGATTGCCGAATCATCCCGCATCAAGGTAACTTTATATTTAAGAAATACTTTCCCACAAACTTAATTAATCTGAATTTAATGTATCCATACAGATAAGCTCCTATGACCCGGATATTTACGTACTCTCGATTCACGACTCGATCATCAAGGATGGTGGCTTATACTCCATTAGTGCCAGGAATGTTGCCGGCTCCATTAGCACTTCGGTAACAGTGCACATCGAGGAGAACGAGGATCAGTATATCTATAAGACCTACGGCAGACATCCGTATGTGCGATCCAAACAGCTGCGCTACCAGGACAAATATGATATTGGAGATGAGCTGGGTCGTGGAACTCAGGGAATTACCTACCATGCCGTGGAGCGTTCTTCTGGAGATAATTATGCTGCCAAGATTATGTATGGCAGACCCGAGCTACGTCCGTTCATGCTGAACGAACTGGAGATGATGAACACTTTCAATCACAAGAACCTGATCCGTCCATACGATGCCTATGATACTGACCGCAGTGTGACCTTGATCATGGAGCTGGCTGCCGGCGGAGAGCTGGTTAGGGATAATCTCCTTAGACGCGACTATTACACCGAGCGAGATATCGCCCATTACGTCAGGCAAACATTGTGGGGACTGGAACATATGCACGAAATGGGAGTGGGCCACATGGGTCTTACGGTAGGTAGTTTTAAATATTCCCTAAAACAAACCCCTTCAAATCTTCCCTCTTACATAACAGATCAAGGACCTTCTGATCTCCGTGGTCGGCGGTGATCTCATTAAGGTGTCTGACTTTGGATTGTCAAGGAAAATCAACAGGCACAATCTGTCGACCTTGGACTACGGAATGCCCGAGTTTGTTTCCCCTGAAGTTGTTAACAAGGAAGGAGTCAACTTCTCCCACGATATGTGGACCGTTGGGTTGATCACCTACGTCCTGCTCGGTGGTCACAATCCGTTCCTGGGCATCGATGACAGGGAAACGCTGACCAAGATTCGCGAGGGACGCTGGGACTTCAAGGACGAGATTTGGACTCACATCTCGGATGATGGTCGTGACTTTATCAGCCGGTTGCTGTTGTACAGCCCCGAGGAACGTATGGATGTGAAGACCGCCCTGAAGCACCCCTGGTTCTTCATGCTCGATCGCCAGGTGTACGATCATGACTACCAGATCGGAACCGATCGTCTGCGAAACTACTACGATCACTTCAGGGACTGGTATGCCAATGCCTCCTGCAAGAACTACTTCCGCAGGCGCCGCCTCAGCGGCTGCTTCCAGCACCCATCCAAGATGGTCTATCCCCCCGGACACGTTTACACGCCGGAGAACACCCCGGAGCCACTGCCAGAGCCACGAATCCGTGCCAAGCGCGAGGAAGTGGTTTCCAAGTACTTGCATCCCGACTACGAACTGGGTCTGATTCAATCGGAGAGCCAGTAAGTATACAAAGTACAATATATAGTTAAATAACAGTTTAAATAGCGTCAGCCAGATTTCGAAGTCTTCTCGTTTTTATACGATTAAATCCTTGTATTTTTTTATTAATTATCTTATAAAATATTTTTTTAAAGCTACCAATACGGTCCCGATACATATCTCTTGCAATTGCGTGATGTCAACTTCCCTGTGAGATTGCGAGAATACATGAAGGTGGCCCATCGCCGATCGCCTTCCTTTGCCTTGAACGATTCAGTGGATTGGTCGGTGAGTAAAAGGTGGAGCATTGGTTATATCGGGAGTATTAAAATATTATAATTTTGTAGCTACCTGTTATCCGCGAGAGACGTCGCTTTACTGACATCATGGACGAGGAGATCGATGACGAGCGCACCCGCAGTCGCATCAGCATGTACGCGGCCAATGAATCCTACTCCATCAGGCGATTGCGCACAGAGTTGGGACCCCGACTGGATGAGTACACCGAGGCGGATGCCATGATCGAGACCCAGCGCGAGGGCTATCCACCCTTCTTCCGTGAGAAGCCCCAGACTATCGCCATAACTGAGAACCAGCCCAGTCACATCCATTGCTTCGCTGTGGGCGATCCAAAGCCGTGTGTGCAGTGGTTCAAGAACGACATGGTTCTGTCCGAGAGCAAGAGGATCAAGATTTCAGTGGACGAGGATGGGCGCTCCATTCTGCGCTTCGAGCCGGCCCTGCACTTCGATGTGGGAGTCTACAAGGTGGTGGCAAGGAACAAGGTGGGTCAGACCGTGGCCCGTTGCCGCATCGTGGTGGCCACTCTGCCCGATGCCCCCGATTCGCCGGAGATATCCGCAAACAGTGGAACCGAAATCCTCCTCCGCTGGAAGCAACCACGCGACGATGGCCACTCCACGGTCCTCTGCTACAGCCTGCAGTACAAGCTGAGCAACTGCGATGCCTGGACCACGGTGGCCGATAACATTGACCACGAGTTCTACCTGCTGCACGACTTGCAGCCCAATACCAACTACCAATTCCGGTTGGCCTCCAAGAACCGCATCGGCTGGAGCGAGATGGGCATCCCGGTGGGCGCATCGACGGTGGGCGGAGATGCCCCCAAGATCCACATCACCAAGGCCATGAAGCATTTACAGCAGCTCACCGAGAACGGGCATCAAGTAATACCCGAGGAGGAGCGCGTCCACACCGACTATCATTGCGAGCGGGAGCCGCCCAACTGGGTGACCGACTCCTCCGTCAGCGACAAGTACAGCTTCATCTCGGAGATTGCCCGCGGCGAGTTTAGCACCATTGTGAAGGGCATCCAGAAGTCCACCGACACCGTGGTGGTGGCCAAGATCCTGGAGGTGACCGACGAGAACGAGGACAATGTGGTGGCCGAGTTCGACAACTTTAAGACCCTTCGCCACGAGTGCATCCCGGCGCTATTTAGTGCCTACAAGCCCCTCAATGTGCCCATTGCCATCTTCGTGATGGAGAAGCTGCAGGGCGCCGATGTGCTGACCTACTTCAGCAGCCGGCACGAGTACTCCGAGCAGATGGTGGCCACCGTGGTGACCCAGTTGCTGGACGCCCTGCAGTATCTGCACTGGCGTGGCTACTGCCACCTGAACATCCAGCCCGACAACGTGGTCATGGCCTCGGTGCGCTCCATCCAGGTGAAGCTGGTCGACTTTGGATCGGCCAAGAAGGTCAACAAACTGGGCATGAAGGTCACTCCCTGCGGATCGCTGGACTTCCAGCCGCCCGAGATGATCAACGACGAGCCCATATTCCCGCAGAGCGACATCTGGTCGCTGGGAGCGCTCACCTACTTGCTTCTGTCCGGATGCAGTCCATTCCGCGGCGCCGACGAGTACGAGACCAAGCAGAACATCTCCTTCGTGCGTTACAGGTTCGAGAACCTGTTCAAGGAGGTCACTCCCGAGGCCACGCGATTCATTATGCTTCTCTTCAAGCGCCATCCCACGTGAGTACTAATATTCTTTTGTTTATTTATATAATATTTAAAACTGACTAAGTTATTAAAATATTAATGTCATGGGAATTTTTTTCTTACCCGTGTTTGCGAATTAATGCTATCTTGAACAAGCCATTTATATACTTTTGCCAATATGAACAAAAATAAACATAAGTATATATTTCGCGGTCTTATGGTAATATTAAAAGTTTGCTCTTGAAATCGTATGATTTTTTATCATACGTATGTCAGCTTTAAGATGTATAAAACCACCATTAGATGATATCATTTATATTATTCAAAAACATTTCATTGACCTCTCAAACAGAGAAAAAAGTAACCCCAAATTATAAAACACTTTAAATATTAATGATGAGCTTTTAAAGATAAGTAAATAAATCTCTGGTATGGCTGTGTATACAACAGAGTCCGCCCAAGAATTGGGAACAGGGCCATTTATGATTGATATTTATCTGCATTTGACAACTGACAACTTTTCATTCACGAATTCATGTAGAAAACGACCATACACCGAAGATTGCTTGGAGCACAGGTGGCTCATGTCCTCCGACTACATGGTTAGGAAACGCGAACGTGCCATCTTCTTGGGCAGCCGTCTAAAGGTAATAAATTGTATTATTCGTGATGAAAGAAACATGTCTCATGACGTTATTTCCGCTCGACCACCAGACGTTCTGCGATGAGTACCATGACCTAAAGAACGCCTCGGCAACGTCATCCAAGGTTCTGAACACGGTCGCCGGCGGACCTACCCCCACTCAACTACTTCGATCGAATAGCATCCAGGAGGAATTGCTTACAACATTTTAGTCAATTAGTTCCGAAGTAGTGTTAAGAGAATGTTGTTTTTATTTCTTGTATATATGGAATATAAATAATTATACAACATCTAAATTCTATATATATAAATATATTATCTGGTTAATTAAAACGAAAAGATTCGCATTCGATACACTTATTTTTAATTTGTTGACAGACCAGCGGACACACCCACGACTTATCGCCCTTGCCAATCAATAAAATGTGAATGACCTTCACCAATAAAAGATACAGATGCCAGGGCTAAAAATAAGTACTCTTATTCAGTGGTTTATAAAAAGAACATTTTCAAGTGGGCGAAACGAGCATTTTCCGTTTGCTTTTAGGGGAACTTTTTTTTGATTAGCGGGTATCTTGAAGTCGAATCTACTTATTTGCCTATCTATTTGCTGAGATACATAAGTGTTCGTCGAAAGGTAAACACACTCACACAAATGTTCAAATCAAAAAACAGAAAACATAAATCGATTCGGCAAAATCAACTCTGCGAAAAGCTTGGCGTTTGAAAAGCTGTCCAGTACACAGCTTTCTTATCACTATTGATTAAATTTTCGTCCAAAGCTTATATTTTAAAGTAAGTGCTAGGTAGAACACGCAAACACCTCAATTAGTACAATACAAAATACAGTTTAGTCACAATGTGAATCGAAATAAAACCGATCTCAACACACATACAACATCTACACGTCCAGCGTTCATTAGCAGTAGAGAAATCAATGAGTGACAAACCTTGGTCACAAGATTACAATCCATCGAAATAGCAACTACGAACAAAAGGTATACAGCCGAGTAGCGATGGCATATACACACAGACATATGTATATACTATATTCGGAGTACTCCAGTAATCTCACTTGCTAAGATTAAGCTCTAACCCTTTTAGATTTTCGACTGGCCAACACGTCGCACATGTCTTTCCAAGTGTAAACTTATTCGTCTCCGTATCAGAGGGTCAACTGGCAATCAATTGAGCTCACAATTAACACACGAATTCAATCAGTTCTTGGGTATAGCTGCACTTGATTCAAAAAATGGCAGAAGGCGACCATTCAGATCATGTGGAAAGGTTAGTGGTTAAAAGTGCCTCCGAATTACTCATCCACCGACTCACACTGTATCTTATCACTCGCAGAACCGAACTTCCGGCTCCGATGATTTCCCGCAAGGAGGTCAGTATCTGGGCCATTCTAAAGAACTGTATTGGCAAGGATCTGAGCAAAATCACCATGCCAGTCATGCTGAACGAACCACTGAGCTTCCTCCAGAGACTTTGCGAGTACATGGAGTACGCACAGCTCCTGACCGAGGCTGCTCAACAGGAAACTCCGGCGGAACGGATGAAATACGTAGCGGGTAAGTGTTATCAGGGGCTATGGTTTCTCCCAGCCCATTTAATAAATAAGAATTGTTTTCCGGAAAGTTCCAAAAATTTAACAAATTGTCTGTGGTTATGAACTTATTAATGATTCATTTAAAAATCGGAAACTTTCTGATTGTGGTTTTTTCCACTTCACACAATATATCTATTAAGGGTTCAATGACTACACGATTCCTAATGATATTGTGCATATGCGTTGTGGTTGAGCTTATCAGTGGTTTGTTTTTTTATAAATTACAAAAATACTTATGGATTGCCTTCACTTTGCAGACGCCTACGCCTAATTATATGGTTTTATGACTTAATATTCAAATGTAAAGATATATGTAGCAATGAATCACGAGCATAACCAATACTTGCAATCTCTTAGTAAATCAATATTACATTTGATAACAAAAATATATAATTTATTTTCCAGCATTTGCCGTATCGGCATTAGCCTCAAACTGGGAGCGCCTGGGGAAACCATTTAATCCACTTCTTGGTGAAACATACGAGCTGCAAAAGGGCGATTATCGAATTGTTTGCGAGCAAGTTTCTCATCATCCTCCAGTATCTGCATTTCATGCAGAATCCAAAGACTTTAAGTTTCACGGTACAATTAACCCAAAAATCAAGTTTTGGGGAAAGAGTGTTGAGGTGAACCCGAAAGGAACTGTCACCATTGAGTTTCCAAAGTACTTTTGACTATATATTAACTAGACAAAAATATATACTAATACAAACTATTTTCAGGTGGAACGAATCTTACAGTTGGACTAATGTCAATTGCTGCGTTCACAATATAATTGTGGGCAGACTGTGGATAGAGCAATACGGAAAAATGGAGATCATCAATCATTCCACTGGCCATGTGGCAAGTCTCACCTTCAAGTCAGCCGGATCTGGAGCCAAAAACTTACATCGCGTTGAGGGATTCGTTAAGGATGCTAGGTAAGCTAAAAAGCTAAAGTACTTAAAGAGGAAATTTAATGAATACAATATGTTGCTTAGTGAAAAGAACCTATACTTTCTGTATGGCAAATGGACCGAGTTTATTAAATGCTGTTCTGCGGACTCCTACATTCAGTATCTGAAGCAGGGAACCAGAAAGAATGACGATTTTGATGGATCGCCGAACGGAACGCCTAAGAAAATGTTCTCGAAATTGAATAGTTTTAAGCTTAACTCATTTCGCAGCCTATCCATTCAAGATGTAAGTGTAAGACTTTCTTGAGTTACCATCGAAAAGTATCTCAAAAATTGTTACATTTCAGAACGATAGCTACCCACCTCTGGAGCAAGAGGGTGACATACCAAAGAGTGATTCTGCATATTCAATTGACATACCAGACTCCACGACTTTGTGGAGTTGTAAGCCGCGACCTTCCAATTGTAACGAGGTGAGAAACACTTTTAAAAATCTCATCACTCAGTTATTATATATCCCCTTACCCCTTTTAGTATTACCAGTTTACGCATTTTGCAATGCAGCTTAACGCTATGAATAATAGTATGAAACCACCGCTAACACTATGCCCTACCGATTCGCGACTGCGACCTGATATATTATACTTAGAGGACGGAAATTTGGATGGTGCTTCCAAGGAGAAAACACGTCTCGAAGAGAAACAAAGGCACACACGGAAACAAAGAAAATCCACCAGTAGCGATGAATGGACTCCAAGGTAAAATAAAGCTGATAAAGTAATTGATTGCTCACTAAGAACTCACAATTCTAGGTGGTTTAAATACGTAACTAACCCTAGTACCAAAACCGATGATTGGCTATATAGCGGAGGCTATTGGGACCGCAAATACGAAAACACCGATACGATATTTTAGATACATTTTGTAGAATGCTTATGCTTACAGTATATATATTTGTAAAAAGTTTGAGAGTTGTTTAAACTTAGGAATCGTTAATAACTGGATAATTGTAAATGGTACTATTAATTGGCAATCGCAATCACAACTTTACATTTCCTTCCGTTGGATACAATCACGTGATTAATCGATTCGCACAAGCATCCAAAAAAATATTAAGTTGAACGCTTACTTTTCAGTAGTTTTTATGTCTGTGTATAAATAGTTGTTAATTCGTGGTGATTCTATACGAAGCAATTAAAATGTTATTCAGTTATTTGTTGCGCTATTATGCATAAAACCAAATATTTTTGATTTTGGGTGAAACAAGGTAAGATATCTTGGGTACAACATACTCTTTCCATAGAAACTACACAACGAGTAACAATCAAATTGATTTATTTTCTTCTACATATTTTTCCGCTCCCAAGCCTTAATTGTCCTTTCACAGATGCTACTATTTACATATGACAGTATGTATAGGTTAGATTTACACATGTACAACAGATATAGAACTTTACTTAAGATCGAGGGTTTTAGGTTTCGTGCTCACATCGTGCAAGCTTACTACGTTATAAGCAGAGACGCAGGGCTCGAGTTTGTTCTTAAATATATCGTTTTCGGATTTCGAGGAGCATATAGAACCCCCGATTTCGGTGTGGCTGGAGTCAGGTAACGAGGCCCTCAGTTCGTGATTACTAACTGAAGTGTTCAACTGGAATTGCTTTGCATAGAGCGTGTCCATCTTATTGTGTTTTGCTGGAAGAAAAAGATTTTTACAAAGTTTTACTAGTAATATATCTATAACTCACGTTCATTAACACACAACTTAAGTCCCGTCCTGTGAGATGCCAATTTGGCGTCATCACTTCCGCCAATGGAGGACTCTTCGATGTGGGAGAAGCTCTCCTGTGGCGAAATTGTGGACAACACCGAGGTGCTGGAGTACAAGTAGCCGGAGAAATATATATCTGGATTCGCCTCATGCGCCTTGCAGGGAACTATCCACGAGAAACTGAACACCGATGGGTTTACCTCCTGGGTGAGCCAGGGATCGGTTATCAACTGGTGCATGGTGCAGCGGTATTTGGGGTCCTTGTTTAACATGGAACTTAGTAGACGGCTCAGTTGATCGGACACCACTTTAGGTATCTGGATCTCGGCCTTCAATGTTTCCTCTACATCGATGAATGGGTTTTCGAAAAACATCAAGACATACAAAGTAACTCCCAAGGCCCATATTTCCAGCTCGGGACCCACGTATCTATTCCCGGCCAGAACTTCCGGACTGCAGTACTCCGTCGTGCCATAAAATGTTGAGAAGAACTTGCCCTCCTCCATGAACGTTGCAGAGCCAAAATCTATCAACTTAATGTTAAAATTATGATCAATTATTATATTCTCGTCCTTAATGTCGCGATGAAGGATCTTCTGCTCGTGCAAATAGTTGACGGCATCGGCGACCTGCCTGAAAATATAGCTCCCCAGTTTTTCATCCATCAGAGGTCGTCGCTCAATGAATGTCCACAGATCCATTCCAGAGCCGTGTTTCTCCATCACCAACTGGTAGAACAGGTCGTTTTCGAAAACATCCAGCACAGAGACAATATTCTTATGGTTCAGCGTCTGTAGCAGATGAATCTCGATAGGAACTTCCTTGCAATCGCGGTTCTTGACCATAAACTGCGAGCAGAGCTTCTCCTTGAGAATGAACTTGGTGATCACGAGCAGGCGGTCGGTGTTCCGGAAAGCCATGTTCACATACCCGTAAGCTCCCCTTCCAATCTGCCGAATCGAAGTATAGTGCTTGCTGTAGTCCCCCACATAAAGCTCATCTTCGTATTTGCAGACCAGGGATAGAGAATTCGGTCTGCTGGAGTTCTGGGCAGCCGTTGTCTTTATGACCTGACCCAGCGACTGCTCAATGGTGCTGGCCATGCTGTTGAATGTGGACGTAAGATTCGCGTAGTTGTACTTTTCTCCATCCAGCCGAGTGCTGGGATTGCGACACACCCAGATGCAGTACACCCGATTGGAGCATGGCAGGATCTGCAGGAGCACGGAGTAGACCACCTCGATTACTGTGCCATCGGCATGGATGGCCTCTCCCACGAAGCTTCCGTTGATGGAACTGAGCAGCCTGGTGGCGGGATTACTGCCAGAGGCATCACAAGTCTCCGTGGACGCGGACTTTGCCTTGTCGAGGGACATCTCGTTAATGTGTGAATGGGATCCTCCCTCGAACTCATCGGCGGGAAAACTATTCGAGGCATTCACTGGTGTTAAAATATCATCTATTGTACAATCGTCTGGCTGTCGAAGATCGCAGAACAGGCCACCGCTGTTCTCCAGATTGCAGCTCATGTGGGCATCGCTAACTGAGGGTTCGTTGTTAGTTTGGAGTGGCACTGGTTTATTGGCGGAGTTCTTTTTACAGGACTGCAGCGAGGAGTCGTTGTCCAGGACGAATGGGTCGGTATCCGGCTCCCAGTCATTGCTGGTTATTGAGGTGTTTGAGACATTGGGACTTTTGTCTTCCCGGGAATCCTTGCCAAAGTTAGGTAAAATGGAGGATATATGCATGTTCATAATCTTGTCCTGACCATAACCGAACATCAGCAGCGAAAAGGGCTGATTACACATCAGTATGTTGCCCACGTCGTCCACCACAATCAGTCCACTGAGATTCTGGAAAACCCAGACGGTGATGTTGATGCCATATCCTGTCGATGTGCTTTCATCCAGGGCAATGAGCAGACAAAGTGGGAACTTGACATCATCCGTAGTTCGTCCTGTGGCCCTCTGTTTTCGCAGGCTCTTTGGTATCTCCCTGCAATCCGGATCGGGGAGCTTTATAAACGGGATCAGCGTGACGATATTGATGCCCACAACGCTTTCGGTGGATTCGTAAAAGAATATGGTAGCCGTGGTGGCGTCGACGGATGTTATTACCCCAAATCGATCGGTGCTTATGTGGCATATATGTCTTTCCACGGGCTCGGCAACGGCTATGTGCCTGCCATCAGTGCTGATCTGACGGATCCAGAGCGAGACCAGGATCTTGTTGCTCGTCTTGGTCTTCATTTCGATGACCTTGCCACTCAGCAGGACCACTCTGCCCTCGTCGCCCTCGATCTGCATCTCCGCCAGCGATGAGATGTGACTTTCCGTCTTGCCATTGAGCAGATCGAAGAATCCCTTGTTCCTCAGCTCCTGGGATGTGTAGCCCAGTAGTTGGCAGGCCTTGTTGTTCACAATGAATATCTGTCCCGTGTTCGCGTCTATGGTGAATATCGCCTTGTTCGGATTGATCACCTTCGAGGAGTGAAGATTAGGAGGCGGCATGCTGAACGAACTGGCATCCATCAAGTTCAGCTTGCTCGACGAATCCTGGCGGGACTGTAACTGCTGGCTGCTCATAATGGGGTCATCTAGATGTCATAAGTATGTGTAAATAATTAAGCATTGCTCTTGTTTTTATTTAACGTGCGTTACCGTTAGCACATCGGTTTCTGGGGCCCTGGGCTTTTGAAATATTAAGCTTACCAGCGGCTTGGTCCATCACTTCGCCCTGATCCTCCATTTAAACGACAGTTATTTTCCAAATCCCAGCAGTTCCAACTTTGGGACTTAAACTATATTTAAAAGAGCGCACCATAAACATTGGAGTTCTGTTTATAAAAAATCAATTGTTTTGCGCATGCGAATGAATGATTTCCGTAGTGGGTCGAAACGAATGCAGCCCCGTTTAGTTGGCCTGGTTTTTCTAGTGAATTTTATTTGCTAACAGGTGTTTTTTTATAGAAAGTTACCCCCAGTTTAAATAAAACAACTATTTGTTGGTATATTTCATGCATTTCCGAGTTGGTTTTAAATGTACCGCTAGTAACTCGCAGCCCTGGCTCCGCCATCGATTAACGGCTCTAAGTATCGATAACACCTTAGTACAAGTATATATATAAGCTGGGCCTAGCTACGTGTGGAAAATTATCAGGGCGCAATACAAAACGTATTGTTCTTCCACATAGGAAGGTTTTTTGTTTCGTTTTCTCAACAAGTATTCGGTGCATATTGAAACAAAAAAGAAAAACGAAAATGCCGAGAATATCTGAAGTAACCGTATCCGTGGGATTCCTCTTGCTTATCAGCCTGATAAGTGTCGACGGCCTTGTAAAAGGGGGGAACTACCAAAACTCGGTATATCAACGGAATCTGGATACCAATTCCGCAACAGGCACAACGGCTTCGTTTCCATTCCTGATGCCCAATGTTTCCCCGCAAACAGTAAGTAGTTTTTAGTGCCCCAAAAAAGATACATTTAGTTTCGACCCATATGGAAGAGCAAATTTCCCAGCTGTGCGCTTATGCATACATTTATTTGTAATCAACAAAATGAATAAATATACAGGGGGAAAAATGTCAATGTTTGTACTCTATATAGGATGTGTTGATTTGCATCTGAAAAACATCTTCGTATAATGTGCAAATTTTTCCATATGGTTAGTTAGTTAGGTGCCTCGAATACACACACGATTTGACACCCACATGTAGTGCCTTGAAATCCGTTGAAACCTGTAGATTGCAGTTCTCGAACCTGCGCTGTAGATACAAAAATTTACGAGGGTGGCAAAAAAGGGCATAGGGCCGCCGAAGGCCACTCACTTTTTTAGTTTCTGAATAATACTTGTTGACAATCTAATTTATTATTCTCGTTCTTTTTTTACTAAAACTAATTTATTATTCTCGTTCTTTTTTAACAAAACTAACAAAATGAATATAGCTGGATTTGTATTTGTGCACACCAATCAAAGTCGATCCAACTACCACCTACTATATTGGTACGTTATCATTGATTCTTTCAATTGAAAAGTATGCAGTAATTGTTTGAACTCTAACAGTTGGCTTCAATCCCAATGCCACCATGAACACGGCTCATCACATGCTGCTTTACGGATGCGGAGAGCCCGGAACCACGAAAACCACTTGGTGAGTTTCTGAAGTTATGTTACTGAGATCTTCTGAAACTTATTTATTTTTACCAAACAGGAATTGTGGCGAGATGAATCGAGCTTCCAAAGAAGAGTCAGCCAGTCCCTGCGCACCCCATGCACATTCTCAGGTATTTAAATTAGGGTAAAGACCGCTCGACAGTTAGACATTTATAAGGCACACAAATTTTAAGGGCTTAAGACCAAGGGTTTACAGGCCATGCAGATGGGTCGTCCTTCATGGATCTTAAATTCACCGGTGGTGATCCTTTGGCGACAAATGAAGCAGATGAAACACTCCGCATGCCATTTGGTGCTCAACGCAACCACAGCTTGTCTATCGATGGGCTTCGCACAGCTGGCACAGCGGGACGAAAACTGTTCCCGGAAGTGTGACTTGCAGAAGAGGTATCCATTAATATCGAAAAAGGACGCCGAGATCAGCGGTTTGCTGCAGCTCACGCACCGAAAACACTTTTCGTGCCACTTGCGCCCCATGGCGGCCACGCCACGCTCTAGAATTGGAGTCCGGCAGGCGGAGCACCGGGCGGCATGGTTGCCCAAATAGCACTCTCTGCAGACCACGTCGTCCTCCACCGCAAAGAACAGGCATCGATCCACCACCAGACCGCATTCCTTGCAGGTGAAGTGGTGCGGATGGTAAGCCTTGCCCAAGCTGCAAACTGCCCGGTTTAAAATCTTCTCGTTGCACCTGCAGCAAATAGAAGGGGACATTACTCAAAAAAGGTTTTCTGGGCAGTAAAATGATAAATTTAGAGGAATTGTCGAGATATTAATTTCCGTTAACAATTTTTCCTCAATCTGACAGAATTGGGGATGCCTTTAAAGTTTTGGCCAGCTTTAAAATAAAGTTAACAACGATCAAATATATTTTGTATAATATGGGGTACGATTCCGGAAACTAAAGCTTAGTTTTAAAAACCTAGAAATGCAGGTTGAAAGTTCTAGGGGAAACAAAACAGATTTGTATATATTTTAAATAAATAAATAAGCCGATCTAAAGCAGAGTATCTAAATGGTTTTGATTGTACACAAAACATTCGTATAAAGGTGCTAATAAATAATAATAATAATAATAATTAAAATAATAAATATTAACTGAACTCATACTTTTCTTTACACAGATAATATACGCTTGGGCCAGAGACGCCCAGAGGCTGAATTTGCCCGAGGGAGTGGGTTTCAAGGTGGGCAAGAACTCACCGACCAAGTACTTGGTGTTGCAGGTTCATTATGCCCACATTGACAAATTTAAAGGTGAGTACTGAAATGTCTATAATAAAATTGATTTTCAATATATGCATCCCCTTCCAGATGGTTCCACTGATGACTCTGGCGTATTCTTGGATTATACAGAAGAGCCGTAAGTTTCTGGCTTATAAAATATGTTTTAACACTAATTTTACTTTTCCCTAATAGACGTAAAAAGTTGGCAGGTACTCTATTGCTGGGCACTGACGGAATGATTCCGGCCATGAAAACGGAGCACCTGGAAACCGCTTGCGAAGTGAATGAGCCAAAGGTCCTGCATCCTTTTGCCTACCGGGTGCACACCCATGGTCTGGGAAAGGTGGTCTCTGGATACCGGGTCAGAACCAACAGTGAAGGTGAACAAGAGTGGCTGCAGCTGGGCAAGAGGGATCCCCTAACGCCTCAGATGTTCTACAACGTCACCAGCAGGGCGCCCATTGTGGAAGGAGATAAGATTGCCGTGAGGTGTACTCTGGAGAGTACCCGTCACCGGATAACCAAAATTGGGTAAGTACCTGGTTCTTGAATGCTAATAGTACCGTTAATAATAAAATTTCCCCTCATGAAAAGTCCCACGAATGAAGACGAGATGTGCAATTTTTACCTCATGTACTACGTGGATAATGGGGAAACCCTGGACATGAAATTCTGCTTTAGCCAGGGCGCTCCCTACTATTACTGGTCCAATCCCGACTCTGGCCTACACAATATCCCACATATCGAAGCGAGCACTTTGTAATTTGTCGTCGGTTGACAGCTTTGGAAAGTGAAACGAATGTATACTACTTTATTGTCTGGATTATTTTATCGTGTATAACAATTAATGATGGTTTAGCATCATTCCGTATCCTATTCTGTTGGCCACCAATGATTTATGCAAGATATTTGTGCGTGTAAATAAACATATGTAGATAATTCGCGAGATCCCAACGGAAATCTTAATAATTGAATTTGGAAATAATTAGCTGTTCACCAGCAAGGTTAATCAGCTCACTCGTATATCGTATATAGTAGGAATCAACAATTCCGCTACGCAGTTAAATGAAACTCTTCCATCGTAAATATTTTCAATGCAAAGCATTTTATTCTCGTTTTTTTTTTGTTTTGTATATAGAATTTATGGAATATATAGTATTTATCTGTATACATATATATATTTATATATATAATTTGGTGTAAAATTATAAACGTACAATTAGATTAGTTATAAATTACACAAAACTTAAATATCTCTCACATTTTATAATAACTTGCAAACTCGTACTTGTTAGTGTTAAATTCTAAATGACTACCGGTTGGCTGAGGCGGCAAGTCCTCAAATGTGTAAGCTAGTAGAGCTCCGTTGTTATCGTGTGCGGCGTAGGTGAGATCATTGTGTGTTTCAATTACATTTCCGGCGTAGTCTTGTTGGGTGTATGTACAATGGTTCCCGATGGTATCCGTCTCCACAAAGCTGGTGCCGTTGAAGCCGATCTGCGGCGAGTTGGAGGTGGTCAGTATGCTGCAGTCGCTGTCCTCGGTGGCCGACGGGATCGGGTTGAAGTCGTCGTTCTGGAATGTGTGCCCCCATCCGGCCCGCCGTAGGGAACGGTACAGGTCATGGTCATCGTGACGGTCTGAGGACCCACCTCGAACTCCACCTGGTGCGAGGAGTTCTCCCCGACGCCGCAGTCCTCCGCGAAACAGTCGTGGTTGTCAGGCACATATGGAGGTATTTGATGGCTGGCCGAGTGCAAGTTGGCGTCGTTCACAATGTTGTCCTCGGAGTCGAACACGGGCTCAATCAGGCCGGGATTGCTATCCAGCAGGCTGGGCTCCACCTTAAGAGTGTGCCCACCCGAGGTATTCACCTGCAGGTAGGGCAGGTAGCTAAGCACCTCCTCGGACAGCTCCTCGCGGTCGTTTATGGGGCTGATGTCGGAGAGGTTGTCTATCAATTCCGCGGTGGGATCCGACTGATTGTGGTGGCTGTGCGACGAGGAGTTGAGTTGCGAGTTCTCGTTGCTGCTAAGGAAGAGCGGCAAGTAACTGTGGACCACGTCGGATAGACTCTCCCGCGACTCCAGGGGACCCGTGCTCAGGTCTGAGTGTAGCTTTTCATCGCAATCGGCATTGCTATTCGTGCTAAGAGGTAAATATTCAGATGATTGGTAGCTTAATAGATTATCGGCTGAGGGTAGGATAATATCCACGGTATTGTGCTGCTCGGCAGGCTCCCCCTTAACTTCGTATTTAGGCTTGGAGTTATCACCCGAATCGTTCCTTAATCGTTTCGAAACTGAACCAGTTTGACATGTAGAGGTAGATCTTTTGCTTTTTCGACAGGCAGTGGTGGTTCCATTAATTGCAAGAGTGGTCAGTGTGTTGTTGGGAGTGTCATTTTTAGCTTCGCAGCTGTCTGCGTCCGGATTCTGCTTCAGCGATCCCGGGGATCGCGTCTGCTTCTTCTGGGGCCTGTACTTGTAGTTGGGATACTCGATCATGTGCATCTTCCTTAACTTCTCGGCCTCGATGATGTAGGGCTGCTTGTCGTCCTTGCTCAGGCTCTGCCATCGCCGGCCCAGCTCCTTGGATATCTCGGCGTTGTGGAGGTCCGGCGTCCGCTCGCAGATCTTCTTGCGTTCCATCTGACTCCACACCATGAAGGCATTCATAGGTCTCTTAATATGGCCGGGAGAATGTTTCTTGGTCTGCAAAAAAAGAGGAAATAAGGAGGTTAATTACTTTTACTTTTCACAAAATACAACAGGTTTTGGTTTTTGTAACGAATATTTATAGATCAAGTTATTTATTTTTAAGAACTGAAATTGCGTATAATTCATTAACGATTATTTCTCTCTCACTGTTGAGCAAACTTTATATTAATTTGTTTGAAAACGATTGATGATTAAAAACTAAATTGTAATATTTGCTATAAGGCCCAATTAAAATGAACAAAATTTAATTTTTAAAAGCTGAACATACAGTCTCGTTGACCTTAAAGAAAATAATAATTGCAGCTAAGATAAAAGATATTGATTTTATTATTAACCTAGGTAAGGTAAAAAGTAACCTTAAAACTGAGTAATTTGTATCACATATATTTATTTAATCGTGTATATTTATTCAACATTACTTCCGGCACTTCCCAGCAAATAAATTATTACACTCCCTTGTTTTCTTAAATTATGGAACAACGAAATTTCCTTTGCTTTTTAAAAAACCTCAAATATGTAGGTAGATACGCTCCGTTAATTTGTTCATGCGAAAAACACATTTACCTAATATACTTTTGCGTATATAAATGTTCATTGCATATTAACGTATCACAGATAAAGAGTTAGGAAATAAAATTCACACCAGAGGTGTACTATACGTATACCCGTCCATCTGAACATTTGTGTGCGCCGACATATATGCATTTTGTATACCGCCTTGTCTATGTCGGTATGTATGCATTTGTATCTGTACGAAAAATACGTATTCGCGGCGTTTGAAGTTCAATGTCCCCGCCAAGGTTAATAAAACGCTCCTAAAACGAAATATGGTTTGTATTTGTATGTATTTCGGTTGTTAAGATACTCGAACGCGTACAAGTGGGCCGATGTACTGGGGAGCATGCATTAATTCGCATCTGCTTCCTGGTTTCCCGGTTGACAATACCTTCGATCTGGGCATGAACCAATCTCGGGAACCCAGCATTTGGCATAGGAATAGGTCATAGCGGTGACGCGTCTCGCGTCGCCTCGTTTGGCCAATGTGAATAACCGTTTTATTCTCGCCGCGAGAGACGGCAGAAACTACCTATTAATAGCGTTAACTTCGACCTTGCAGCAGTTCGTGTACCTCGCGAGTTCATCCACATCCACATCCGAGGCGATACCCTTGGCAGTAGCGAGTTGAACCGAACTGAAATGAAATGAGCTGAGCGGGCTGAGTGGAGCAGACTTTCAGCTGAAACGACTCGACGATGGTACGAGAGTGTATGGTATTGGGGCCGACGGGATGCGATGCTCCATCGGCCATTGCCTTTACCATTGCCATCGCCATCGCCTTTGCCTTTGCCTTTGCCCTCGCAACTCTGCTCCGAAACTCACTCTCAATGTCGCCGTCAGTCAGACAGTTCAGTTCAAGTCTAATAAGCAGCCCGACTCTTGTAGACACAACACACTCATACCACGGCGAACCCGGGCCCAAACACACACAGATACTCAGGCCAGAAGTTGCAGACACCCGCATCCGTGAGATACAGATACATGTGTATTATATACACTCTTTGGGGAACAAGTAAAAGTGATGAAATGGGTCTGGGGCTCGGGCTTTCGATTTTAACCGTTCCTGCCGCACGCTTAGATTCTAAGGTCATCAGCTCGAATACTATATTAATTCATTTTTTGCAGTAAAGATAAAACATGTAACCGCAGAAGTCAACGACGCCTGGCAATAGTACATATGTACTCAGGTTCTACATATATATATACGCGAGTAATACGCAATTGAGTTTTCTGTTCGTGACGCCAAAGGCAAAAGGCAAAGCCATTGCCTCCTCCATCCGTCCGCACTAATAACCGTAAAAAACAAACTGCTAAGCAAGGTCAATGCACCAAATGTGCTATGTGTGCTATGTGCGCGCACAATTATTTACACACTTATTTGCTAGAATACGCTTAACTTTGGATAGGAGGCACTGAGTGCATTCCTGGCTATGTATTTTCGGAGGTTCTGGCTAGCTGGTATACCAAATTGTCTGGGTGGTAAACAAGATGACGAATACTTATGGACACTCTTGCGGTTAGGTAGATCGCCATAAGGAACTTGTGTTTTGACAAAAACATATCAACAAATATGTATCGGTCACAGTTAAGCAGCGCAAATTATAGACGTACTATCCGCTCGAACAGCATATCCATCCGCACAGTGCCCCATACAGATACATATCTACAAACGTATATATGCAAGCTCGACAAATAATGTGAGTCATCAGGGAAGCGAAACGCGAGTACAACCGCCCCGTAAATGTACGGGGACAAAAAATGCACTTCCACGCATTCCACGAATGTATCTATGGTCGGGAACTCATCAGCCAGTGCTCCCAGGTGATATGTATGTCCCAAATAACCATCCATCAGTCTTTCCCACGTATCCACTTCCCAGGGTATTTCATCATAATAAGTCAGAGTATGAAGTTGAGCTTTTATGATCAAGCGTAAATAAATACAAACGTCCGTTCGATTGCTAATCTACATTAATTGTTTTGCCGTGCTTGTATTTGTAAACAAAGAAAATAATCGCAAAAAAACTTGAATCTAATCTAAAAGGAAATCTTATCAGTCAAACTTTTTGTTGACCTGCTTGGTCTGGAAAAAGTATTTGTATGTATTCTAATGTGGGTCTCTCTGCCGAATATGAAGTACGTTTGCCTTGACGAGACAGCTGTGAGTGTTTATCTAACTAGTTCCCATTAGAGCTGATAAGAAATGCATCGCTGGCGTGAATTTCACTTTGGCTGAGTGGACATACATGCATATAGATGAGATGGAACGGATCTTCCTATCGAGACGAGATCAGGCCACCGGATAGCGGATTTGGGAGCCAAAATGACGTGTCAACTAAAATGCATCCCTGTCTACACGGGGCGAGAAATGTTATAATTTTCATATCTAAAAATACATGGGCTATCTAAGTAGTCTATAAATCTAATGAAATTGTTTTGCTTTTAAATTAGTAGGTATAAAATATATAAGATTGAAGCATTTGTTTTAGGGCCTTCAGCAAGAGATTTTAAATATATAGAGGTTTTTGTGATACAACCATATTTAAAATGTAGAGTAAACATTTTTGTTTCATTTTAAAAAGTAATTGAGTAATTCTACCTGAAAGCTCTACTCTATCTCAAGCAAAAAACCGTTCAGAGCCCAGAACTTAATCCAAATTTTTCGCAGTGTCGACAAGGCAGTGTTACTCACTCGAGTTGCATCCGAATACGGGGTGGTGGAGTTGACAGGAACCCGTGCAGATCCGAACACCAGGCTGGAATCGATGCCGTTCATGTTCAGTGTCATTTCATGGCCGCTGTGGCTCGGAGATCTTTCGTCGTCCATATTGGATTCGGATTCGGGGGTTACGAGGTGGGGATCTGGGTGGTTGAGCTTGAGGTTGCGGGTGAGGGTGTGGGTGTGGGGGTTCGGTGCAGCTGCAGCAACAGGCGCGGAAGGCGAAGCCACAGCCGCTGGATGAGTAATAGCTGGCTGGCTTTGTGTTTGTGTCGTAGGGGTTTGGGGTTGCGAAGTGCGGGGTAGTAGTTGTGGCTCCGGTTTTGGGGCTGGATTCTTTATACTCGCTGGATTCGCTGGGGTGGTTGCTGGAACCGTTGGCACTGTTCCGGGGCGAAAACTGAATGGTGGTTCGGTGGTGGCCTGGTTGGGCTTAGCTATCATCTTTCCACATTCAGTGATAATGGGGTATCTGGTTGGGCATCTGTATCTCAGACTCAGTATCTGTATCCCAGGGCAGTTGTCCCGATCCCCGCTTCAACATAGTCCCAGAAACAGTGGCAGTGGTGGGGCACCGATAAGGCGTAGGTTCTGGTTCTGGTTTGGGTTCAGATGTTCCAGGGCTTTATCACGAATTATGTGTTATATGCTATGCACTATATGAACTATGTATTCGTAGTCGCAGACTGATCGGGCTGTTTCATTTAGCAAAATACTCGCGTTCACTGCATATGCTGTCCATGTGTGTGATTGTGATTGTGTGAGTGTGCACTAGGTATTGCTCCTCAAGGTGAAACTGGTTCCTCGTTATTTATTTATTTTTTGTTTTGTGTTTGCAATATTCCAAGACTCACGTTCGCTGCGTCCGTGTAATGAGCTTATATACGTATACACTCACAATCGCACTCGCTCTCCGTATTTATTGTACATTTTATTAATTTATAAATGCACTGAAACTGAATTAAATAGATTGGCTCGTATTTATGTGCAGAGAGTTTACACACGTATGTAATGCATACTTATGTGGCTTATGTTTGTGTGGTCACTAATACTGCTGCACTACACACACACTCGCACTCGCTCGTCGAGTGTGTTTGTTTTACGTGTTGATTTTGAAACACCAAATATTTTGATAATGTTTTCGTGCAGATTTGTTTGAAATTCAGCTGGTACCGAATGTTTATAGACAATAAGTTTTTTTTAAACGGTGACGGATCGTGGGTATTAGTTATATATATGTATATCGGGGCTTAATCACAACTTTATTTATGCACACAGGTTTCCGTTACTAGATTTAGTTAGTAAGTAAGTTTATCTGGGGGTCTAGATTGCTTATATCTTTACCGAGTCGGAGTCGCGCGAGACCAGGGCATTTCTTCTTGTCCTGGTCAATCTAAACTAAACATCGAATTGAATCCGAATCGAGCTGAAGAAGCAACGCAACTCTCGGCGCAACGCAACGCAAAGCAGCGCAGCACAACGAAAAACGAAGCGATGAGATACGAGTTGGTTTGGATTGGATTGGATTGGAGTGAAGTAAAGTGAAGAAACGAAACGAACGACGCGAGCGAATAAACTACGCAAAAGATTTTACGTTTTTATTTTGTTGTATATTTTTTTGTGATTTTGTTGTACTTGTTTCTTATGCAGCCCCCATGTACTGCGATGTATGTAATTATGCATATAAGTATATATATGCGCGTCCGTGTGGAGTATCTGTGTCTGTGTTCGTTTCGTTCCCGAACAACGTCGATCGCTCACAGCTGTTCAAGTGAACTGACTGCAAAGTTTACGATTGAGTCCACAGCACGTAGATACAGATACATGCACCCATACCAGCTTCAGATACATTCGGTGGAAGTGTGTGCGTGCGCCCGAGAGAGAGCGCAGGTTTCGTGCGAGCGTGTGTGTGTGCATAATGACTCTCAGCCAGACTGATTTCCTTGAATGGTCAGTGGCGGACTTGCAGTTAATTGGGGCTTTATGTTGTTAATTAATTATTTATGTTAAGCTTTTTCGGAACTATTTCTTTTAGTAGCTATTCAATTTATTCTCTTAGGTAATAGCTTAAAGATTCTTTCTATTTTTCAGCCAAAATTAAAAAAGCGCCCCTTCGACCGGCGCCCTTTTCACTCCACCCCTGAGTTTGTTGATATCAACTGTTGCAGTAGCGCTGTCAGCTAGTGTGTGAGTAACTCAGCACGAACATATGGGCGAGTTGGTGGGGGCATGTACATGTATTGGCAGCGACGCTTATGAATCAGCTGTTCCAATGTGTATTAATCATATGGCTGTTTGATTAATCTGTAAGTGTGCTTGTGTGCATATACTGACGGGAATATGTATGCATGTATATACGTGTGTAAATATGTGCGCATGAATATCAATCTGGCTTCTGTTTATTTCAGACAATTCTGAACGGTTTTGAGTACGGAAAATCTGAATAATACATGGATATTGTACGTATTCCCACATATGTACATATGTCTGAATATGCTTCTATATACAATATCTGATATAATATGCAGTTAATATTGAGTATTAAAAAAATACGCAGGAACATACAGATATAGATGCATATATACTTGTATATATTTATCTATAGAATGACGCAGCGGAACATGCACTTGCATTTTCATACAGTGTCAGGTATAAATATCGGTTAAAGAACAATGTACATACGAGTATGCATGATTTAATTGTGCTCTGACACACGGAAGTAATCTTGTTGATCGTAGCGACCGCAATATTTTGTATTAAATTTTTAGAATGCAAATAAATGAAACAACGTATATGTTTAAATTCCTAGTGTTATAATAAATTAATAAGTAAATATGTAAGTCGTAAAAATGTAATCTTTAGTTGTTACATACAGGGTGATCAATTATAAGATGTGTTATCTAAGTAAAAGTCGTTCAAGTCCAACAAAATTGAAAAGTTACACTGAGCAAAAATGTTTTTCTTAATTGTAAAGTAATTGAACACGAGGTCACGTTGGTTATATTTCATTTCTTTTATAACACAGCCTTTTTCCTTAACTTTCCTTTAGAAAATAAATAGAATAAATGAAAATGATATACTCGCTATAAACATTTCAATAAGGTTTTAATTAAGAACATTTTATTCTCATAATTCCTATTAGAATTAAAATTCCGCTTGCAATAAATGTTTTAAGGATATGGTTCAAATATAGATTTAATATTTGCAATAAATGTTTTAAGGATAAGGTTAAAATATAGATTTAATATTTGCAATAAATGTTTTAAGGATATGGTTAAAATATATATTTAATATTTTTACCATTTCCTTAAATCATTTATTGCAACCGGAATTTTAATTCTAATAGGAATTAAGAGAATAAAATAATTATCCAATTCAGTTTCAAATTTGTAGGAATTTAAGTTTGTATGTTCAATATAAAAAGTTAATAGCGGAAATTTAAACTGGATTACAAAATATAGAATAAAATATCGAAAACGTTGTTATGTTTTAATTATACTGCACTTAAAATATTTGAATCACGATAAAATAGTGTATAAATAAATAAAGGATTTTGTTTATTTAATTCGTTGAAATATAATTTAGCAAAATAAATGACATCAAATTAAAACAAAAAATGTATATCGATAGACAGGAATACCCTGTTTAGAGTGTGAAAGATTTGTTGGGTGCGCGAGTGAATGTTCACAATAACAACAAGACCCAAGGTGATTCAACGTCTGTTATCGATAAATTTTCAGTGAAAAAGTATGGAACTATTCTGGTATAAAACGTGTAAAACTCTGAATATTATTGTGCCTGGACATTATATCTCACTATATACGCTCGAAACTAAAGCGGAACTAGCCTACAACTGAAATCAACTTGCGCGCAAAGGATCGGATGCAAGACATACGTAACATTTCACCATATATGTGCGTTATTTCACCCCATATTACATTAGTTAATCGCAGTAATCATGGATAAATCTGCCTCAAATTGAGCTGGCCACAATGCCACCCAAAGCCAAATTCAAGAAAATGGCCTTTCGCAAGGGATTCCCACCACAGCATACTTGTGTCTTTAAGTTTAGATGTCGAAATTTCACACCCTTATGGGCGCGCTGTTTGACCCCTTCCTCTTTGTTCTCCGCCTGATTGCGAACATGAGTTCCCCCATCTACGAACACTATCGGTGCGGACCGACGCCGCGACCCCTTTCCACTGGCTCGCTGTGGAAGCCAAACAAGGTGCATAAGGAGCCCGAGGCCAAACCCCTAGAGGTCCCCGAGGATCTCCTGATCCCGCCAATGCAGTCCGACCCCCTGGATCCGCTGGCCACCATGATGTCTTTCAAATTAATGGCCATGGACGTGGTCAGTCAGATGCATACCGCCCTGCAGAAGTGCGTCAATGCACAGAGTCCTCCGGGCGCCAAGATGGCAGGACTCGAACTGGACGCCCTCCGCCGCTGCGTACCGTCGTCCTGCTACTTCTTCATCGACCTGCACCCTCATACGCAGACGAGATTCAAGGAGTCCGCGGAGGAGCACTCCGCTAGTCAAGTGTCCAGTGACAGGAACAACAATGCTGGAAGCTCAGGAGCCAAGGGGGATCGCCTGCAGAGACAGCGGAGCATCTCCGAGTGCAGCGAGGATAGCTTTATTTGCTTTGAGGATGATGCGGAGGATGAGGATGATGAGATAGACGACGACGAGGATGATGACGACGACAGCAGCGTTCAGTTCACAGCATGCGGTGAAGATGAGGATACCGAGGAGATCGAGTCTTGCGAGTGCGTTAACGACAGCTCAACATCCGCCAAGAAGGTGTGTTAATCATACCCATTCTAAAATTAATGACTTTACTAATCAATTAACTTTTAATACCCTAAGGTTCGTTTCAACATGAAACCCGAAGTTCACGTAATGCTTGCCTGGGACTATGCCTACCGCGCCGCTAGGAAGAGCGAGTGGCAGTTGATGGCCCGAGATCGGGATCGTTTTCAACAGCGTATTAGGCGGATCTCGCCCATTCTGAACGCGGTCCTGAGCCCAATTCATCGGGAAAGTGTCTATCAAGCTCGATTCTTGCACGAGGACTAGAATGTCTTCACACCTGAAGTAACTTTTGATGTACAGATTACAATTAAGAATGATTACAGAATTAAATTAAGCACAAGTTGATTGCGTGTATACAGTGATCAATTTAGCCACTGATTTCGTGATTTATTCTATGAAACCAAAAACTGTTTAACCCTGTAAGGTATATCAAAATCAAGCATATTTTTGATCGCCTTTAGTTTTATAACGTTAATAAGTTTGAATTTGTTGATAACGGGATTAGCATATAAATCTATAACCTTAAATAAATTAAGCATTAGACGTAAATGATGCTGTGTATTCTATTGTGTACCTGTTTGCATGCTCTCCGTTCAGAACCCTCAAGTCATTCACAGAAAAACATGATTAGGCGCAGGCTTTACAGGGTACGCGGGTGTCAGATAACCCCGAAAAGAAATAGATTAGGCGTCAGTTAACAAAAGTTAACGTTCAGCATGGGACAGTAAATTTTATTAACGTTATCACCTTTATTCAATTATTTATTTCATGATTTCTTCAGTCGTTTGCAACTTAATTTTGATAAGCTTCCAATATTCATTTCGCCAATTGATAAACTCCACCCGAAAATATGAGCTTATGTTCTCTGACTTTGCGCTGCAAAAAGTGCTTAAGCTCGTCCTGAGTGAACTCAACTCCACCGCTGTGGGAGGCAAACAACTTTAGCATTTGGTGGATGCGGTCTATTGGCATGGAGTCGAGGTTCGTGAGCATGCCAACAATATAGGACCAGAATACCTAAGAAAAAAAATTTGCAAATAAATATCTAAAAGTCCATGGATTAAACTAGTCTTATAGTTCCTTACTTGAAGTTCTTCTTCTCGTTGATCACTTGCTGAAGCCATTGCTGATTCCAAATCCTCTTCGTCAGCTTCTGCGAGACTCATGTCTTCGAATTGAGATTTCTCCGACTCCTTTTCCAACAGAGTAAAGATTCCTGGGGTTGTTTCAGAAATCAATCCGTGATTTTGCCAAAAGCTCAGACGACGTCGCAAAGCAGACGGTGGAACTTTTGTAATGGAGCTTAGGTCTTCAATAGTCCATTCACCTAAAATATTTTATTTTGATCTTCTGATCTGATTTGGGAATAATATTTCCTTACTTTTGTTTTGAAAATGGTAAATGATGACTGCCAAAGTGGGGCTAACAACCATTTCCATGGTTCGATCCCCAATTTCGATCTCAATATTTACACGACCAGTCACAGTACGCCAGTTAAGCGTACGGTTTCCTTTGTACGCTTCGTAAGCCTTGGTGTACTTCTTGAACTCATTTTCAATCTCTTCCGGTAGCTGGAGACTTTCTTTGTTGAACGAAGGCCAAAACTGTGCGGAAACAATCAGCGAGGAGATGTCGAATAACTGATCTAAAATAAGAGAGGTTGCGTTAAGCCCAATTTAAATTTTAATAATAAGAATTTACTCACTTTCAGTACGGTTGCCATCGCTATGGATATGGGCATTGATTCTCTTTGAGTCTGTAACATCTTTCAACATTACCTCACAGCTGTGCAAAAGGGATTCTCCAAAACGGATTTTTAGCAGTTCCAAATTTCGAATTTCTTTTTCTGAATTAAAATCTAGCTGAGCTAACAGTCTATCTGCCATCAGATTGCGATACTCTGTCATGAACAGCTCCTTGCTACCGTATATATCAACAACCATTGATATAATATCAGCCGATCTCATTTTTCTGGAGCTGTTATACTGCATGATGCTTGCGTCTATTCCAAATGGATCCGGTTCCCAATTTTCCCAGTTGCTGAACTCGTCAGTACCAGAGTCTTTGCCTTCTTTAATCGATTCACCCTTGGCGAGTTCCTCGGATAAGTCCGTAGGCCCCTCTTCAGTTAACCCAGTTACCACACGTCGCACTGTGTCGTTTCGTTTTCTCAGATAATCCTTTATTGGAGCAGTTACCATCTCCAAAATTACTCCTGTATTATCCAGATGGCGAATCGCCTTTATCGCTGCCACATATCCTGTTAATATGTCCATAGTGTTGACACCGGGATGCAAGATTCGTGCTTCTAAAGAGTTTCTTAGAGATTCAGTAAGATAGACTCGCATATCTATTTTCTCCATGCAAATCTTTAAGTCATCTATGGCAGGAATGGAATCTGGATAGTCTGTTTAAAAATATTAAAATATAAAATATAAAAACGGTATATTAGAATAACTTCAGACGCTGACCTATAATAATGCTGAAGAATTGACCAATAACGCTCTGAGCAAAAGTTTCGTACATAAAGTAAGTTAGTTTTACTTTGAAAGATTTGACAGACTCAGGAACTTCAATATCACTAATACTATCTTTAGTCTTCCATTCTGTGAATATGTTTGTCAACCAGGACATTATAACATCCGACAGCCACTGCAAAAATATTAAATTAAAATTATTGAGCGTCAGGGAGGCGTTTTACACTCACCGTTTCCAGCTGTTTGAGATGACTCCTATCGAAAATCCCCATGCAAGTGTCGTTGATATGCTCCTTTATTTTAAGCTTAATGAGCGCAGTTAAAGCACTTCCAGTTAAGCGATCAATGAGGTTCATCTCGAATAGCTTCATGTTTGTTTTGTTGACCATCTCCGTTAGCCTTTGGCAACAGCACTGCTCCACATCAAAGTTGCAGCCGACACACAGGAGCTCATCGAAAACATCAGAATCTAAAAAGAAAAAGGTGAATATGACAACTATGGGATCATCAATCTGATCCTTACCAACTGTGGCCAGGGCAAGATGCGATGCTTTGGTAAACAATTTAAAGTGCACCCAATAGAAGGCCCCAACAACCACACTGAAAGTGGGGGGCAGTTGAGCCAGCAGGGAGTCTCTTAAGCTGTTTTTGATCCCGTCCTCCTGCATTAACTTGACCGAGTTTGGGGCAGGTCTTCCTTCGCTTCCAATAAGCTTAATTAGTCTGGGTTTAACCTGCATTAGACTTAGAAAACCATCGTGCAGCTCGTTGATGGCATCTATGAACTGGGTGAACAATCTGTTCTTGTCGGGCAGTGCTTCTATGGCCAGTGCCTGGTCGTTAATCCCGCCCTGCAATTCTGACGGAACTAGGCCGGCGTGGAAGTGCTTCCAGAACTTTGGCACCAGGACATTTCGAATGGCAGATTGGATTTCTAGGTCCACTAGGGCCGTGAAGGTATCTATGCTGCCCAAGACCTTCAGATGCCGGCGAACGTTTTCAAACACCTTTTCCTCAACTGGATCAGTGGAAACCGCATTCTGAAAGAGCTTTTGAGTTTAAGAACCAATCCTTAATAATAAAACATAGATATATACTTACCGCGCCACCCAGTACTGGAAATATTTTTAATACATCCGCCCACAAGGCATCAAAGTCGCACATTATTTATAATCAATTATTTTTGGCAATACAAAAAACATTGCCAAAACAGCGTAGGAATCAAAATGCAAGTAGAGATGACAGTGTCGTTATCGATAATGCGAGTTCTATTATCCGTATCGATAAGCCTGGGTTTCTTTATTTATCAGATACTTTCTATATCACAAGAGTATGGAATTCATTCGGTCTTGTTATGAATTTGTATTAGCGTTATAAACTATTGGGTTTCTAATAATCATATGCTTTCCAGTTTCTTTCACTTCCCAACAAGGATCGAACCCATAAACGATTTCTAATGACTTACCATTTTTATCAGCAATCCCACACAGATTTATTGCAATAAATTATATTAATGGATACGGTATCCAAAAAGTAAAAAACAGCAAGAGGTTTAAAAATATATCTTCTTGTTCTGGCAAACACAAAACAATTAGAGTTAAAATTAAAATTGCATACGACTTATTTACATACATACAAATTGAGATTTAAGAGCCAGCATAAGACTTGCGAAGGAATATTGTTAGATTGCGAATTTATTTAATTTTATTGTACTGTGTGCGTCACCTGACACACGCCCGTGTTTTAGCCAATATAAACTGGATGCCAATGGCTAGCGACTTAAGGAGTATATCTAAGAAACTATCGTATCTTCAAATGCGTCTGCTGGTGCTTTTTCAAGTGGTCGCTCCTCACGAATCGGCGACAGCACTGCGGACAGGCGTAGGGCTTCTCGCCTGTGTGCGTTCGTATGTGCCGGTTGAGGTCGTCCTGCCGCTTGAACCGTTTCTCACACTGCCGGCAGCGGAAGGGCCGATCCTGAACAAACTGCGGCATCCCGTAGGTGCCGGGTCCGTCCGCAGGCGGTAACTGAGATAGGGTATTTACAATTTCGTCGGCCGGCTCATATTTTACCTCGGGCTTAGCCTGGTTAAGGAAAGATGGCAGCTGGCTCTGATTCTGGCTCTGACTTTGTAGCTGGTGCTCCGGAGCTACGATCTGGTACTTGTCACTGTGCTCTGGCCGCTCCAGCTTAATCTTAAGCGGTTTGTGCTGACAGTCAACAATGTCCGCGGGTTGCTGGTGTTGATGCTGCTGATGGTGGTGCTCCATTCCCTGATCGCCGCAGCCAACCATCGCGGCCATGAAGTGGAAGCCCGAATCCGACTCCGACTGGGAGTGCTTTTTGGAGGGCTTGAGCCGCACCCCGCCACTAGGCACTGATCTCTTCGGCGTGCTGCCCTTTAGCTGGCGGTCGTGGGTGGCCAGGTGCTTGGTGAGGTGGTCGCTTCGCGAGAACTTTTTGGTGCACTGGATGCACTCGAAGGGCTTCTCTCCGGTGTGCGTCCGTAGGTGCCGGTTGAGCTCGTCGGAGCGCGTGAAGCCCTTGCCACACTTGGGCTCGCTGCAGACGAAAGGTTTGATGCCCGTGTGCCAGGTGAGGTGGGACCGCAGGTGGGAGCTCTTGCCATAACTCTTTGTACAGTTGTCGTAAGGGCAGACGAACTTGCGCTTAGGATCGGAGGCGTGTGGCACGGCCATTAGTTTTACGCTGGGCATGATGCGAATCTTGGAACTTCCACTACCTCCATATGGTGAATCCTCTTCCTGCTCAGTCTCAACTCCATGGGGCACGTTCTCCAAATCCTGTCCGTCATGCTTGAGGTCCCCGAAAATAGTGGAGGCCCGTAGTATCATATCCGACGCCTGCTCGTGAATGTTTGCACCGCTTAGCGTGGGAAACGCTGGTGGTGGTTTCATGGGTTCTATGGGCGTTGATGTCGTCAGCATTTGGGGTGTGGGCGTGTTAGATATTACTTGTGACATTGCGCTTACGTTCGGGGTTCAGTCCGGCGGAGCTAAAGTGTCTGAAATCGTAAATGGAGGTGCTGTAGAGCTCGAATCGCACTGCCCCTTGTTTAATTACCCAATTTGTGTTTATCCAAAGCTAAACTCCTGCACAGGAAACTGCGTTCAGTGGGCGTCGGCCTCGGATTTATCAGTTTTTTGGTCCCTCGTCACCATAGCCAGCACGGATAACGGTCTACATTCCCTTTGGGTGCTCCACACACATTTTCCAATTGTTTTCGGCCCGCGCGAATGCGTATTCCAGCAGATTTACTTATTTTACTTTATTTTATTTATATACTGAAGTACATCTATTTAATTGCGATGAGATATATCGACTAGTCGATAAGTGCAAAAGATGCGACTAAATGGGTTCGTGAGTGGAACTATTGAATGAATACTCAGTTCAGTTTGTTTCGGTAGTTATAATTTGCTATATGCTTTGAAGAAAAAAATTTGACAATAATATTGTCTATATTATAAAAAATATATGATCAATAGGTAATTAAATAATTAAATATATTTTAAAACTATTTGCTAGCTATACGATTTGCAAAAATACTGAAAATACTATCTTTTGGTATTTTGCTATCGATGACCGTAACATATTCGATGATAACTTTTGCTCATCTCTATCCTGCACTATAGTAAATAAATGCATTTTAAGTAATTGATAATAATTTGCTAAAATGCAAAACAACTCAGAGGAAGCGGGTGATTTTCAGTTGACAAAAAGGCAGGGTCGCCAGCGAAGGAAGCAGACAATTTGGACGCGCGATAAGATCGCCAAACTAATTGAACTTTACCGATCATCGGATTGTTTATGGAACCATTACTCGGATTTATATAAAAACAAGGATTGTAGAGCAAAGGCCATTGATACCATTTGCGCGGCCGTCGGAATAACAAAAAACGACTATGGCAAGAAAATACACAACCTACGCAACCAATATAACTCGGAACTTAAAAAATTGGAGCGACGCCTGGAGGTATCAGAAAGTACTTCGGCGGAAAAGATCTGTCGCTGGGAGCACTTTAAGTCCCTGATGTTCCTACGTTCCGTTATAGAACCCCGACCAGGATATCAGCAGGGTCCCCAATGCAAAGTAAAAGCGGATCCTAATGTGTAACCCATAAGTTTGCTTAACTTATTCCTATTTTGTAGAAACCAAACACAAAGCTGGACTTTAGCAACGCCGAGCCGGATTTGCCAAAACAGAGCCAATCCTCAATAGAAAACTTGGAATCAATGATTTTAGATAACGATGCAGAAATTGTTGAGCTACCAAAGCTCAACGAACCCATTCCCGCGCCAACGGAAACTGCGCTGACCGTCAAGTTATCAGCCCCAGGTCGGGTAGCAGAAGCACCCACTGTTATAGCTCCTGTCCATGTCCCACCAAGTCGTCGCGACCAATGGGATGCCTTTGGGGAATTAATCGCCAGTGAATTTCGCAACCTGAACTCTGAAATTTCGCGCAAGAGGCTAAAGCGGAAAATCATGCAAGTAATGCTGGAAGTCGGGGAAGAAGATGATTTGGAGTACCCAATCACAAACAGTTGATTTGAGTATAAAGTATAAAGAGCACATGTTGTACATATTAATAGAGTAGACCTCTTTAAATTTAAATATTTAGTATATTCAGCACACAGACCACTCAAAGAGCATTGAGCGCAAGACAATTTGTATGTACATTTTAAGCCCTATTCAAAACAAAACGGGAGTGGACAAAACTCCGCCTTTTTAAGCAATCGAAAAACAAACTTGAATTTGCTACTGGTAATTAATTTGCATATTTATTCGGTAGAGGGAGATACATTGAATCAATGGGACCTAATATTACGGAAACAACAATCCAAGGATTACGTCAATTGCTGTTGGAAATTCTTGAAGGGCTGTGAAAAAGCACTAGTTTCAACAGATTATAGGCAGATGTGAGATTTGTCAGAACTTAAAGTCCTTTATTGCCTGTGGCAGATCAGGTAACTTTATGTCCTTGATCTGTTGCGGAATGTTCATACTCTTCACGGCGCTCACAGCTCGAGCAGGAGCAGCCGAAATTCCGGCCTCCTGCTTGACGATCTTGTTCTGCTCCTCGATCCTGGCCATTATGTCGTTCATATTGGTCTGTAGGACCATTCCGCCCATTACCAGTTCTAAAACAATGCTAAGATTACTCAAACTGTACGGTTTATATGAGCTATATTCCAAACCTGATAGTATGTGGTGGACGGCATCGGCGTGAAATATTAAGTCCAGCTCACAGACATTTTCGAAACACTTATCGAGGGTTTCCACAAAGACCTGTATCAAATCAAGGATTCCTAGTTCGCTTTCTGAGGAGTCGACGCAGAATACAAAGTACAGCGTGGCATAGTGCCGATAGATGAGCTTATAATCTGATCCGCCAATTAAGCTAAGGAACGAAAGTTGGTACAAAGTATTCCGGAAATAATTCCTAAGAATTACTCACCTTCCGCCCTCCAGAAAGTTACAAACATTATCGTCCCGCTTGGAAACCAGCTGAAAAGTCTCCTTGATTATTTGTTGCTGAAGGCTTTCATCCTAAAAAGAAAGTTTAAGATTGTGGGGATCCTGGTTATATACCCAAGCACTTACGAAATACTGATAGAATTTGGACAGCCTCGGCTTTCCATGATTATTAAATACAAGTATAGCTTTTATCATCTTAATTTCTTTGATAAATATAAAATGTTGTTTAAACTGCCAGCTGTTTTACTTTTTGACGAGGGCTGCAAAATCAATGCTTGGTATGTCTTTTATGATATCGATATTTTGAGTACTCACGGTTTAATTTATTAAAGTTAAATTTAAAAATCTTGTATTTAATGGCTTTCACAAGTGCTAACATATTTGTAAATAATTATACTTAGACAGTTTTACCAATTTGAATTGTCCGTAGGTTTTGTTATTTTTATAATAATTGCCCATCTCTAATACTAGTAACCTCGCGGTCCGCATATTGTTTATTTATTATTTTAATAATAATATGAATATTTTAACTAAAGTAAACTTTACTAGCAGGTATTATTGAATTTGCGTTGGAATATATAAGTGCTAAACCTATTTTTTTCAGGGTGAGCTCGGTTTTAAACAAAGAAGTAAAGCAATATGGAAAACAGTTCATGTTTGATACAAAAGAAGATACATCTTGGAGTTCCGATGAGGTATTTGAGTTTGTTCAAAATAAAACAAGATGTTTTACTTAAAATAAAAACAGCGTACATTTCAGCTAACTCCTTAAATTCTTAACGTTTTTTCTAGGGAACCCCCCAATGGATTATTTTGAGTTTTGAAGAACCACAAAACATCACTGGATTCTGTTTTCAATTTCAAGGAGGATTCGCTGGTCTGAAATCCGAAATAATTATGTTCTCCTCTGACGGAGCCCATCTACATCAAGAACCATTTTATCCAGAAGATATTAACTCCCCTCAGCTCTTTCAAATTAAAGATTCAGCCCGGCAAAAAGATTGCTCTAAGATTAAGTTTGTCTTCGAGTCTAGTACAGATTTGTTTGGTAGAATCATTGTTTACAATCTCCAGCTGTTAAGCTAGCCATATTTTAGTATAAAAATGTATGTGTACAAACTCTGTTCTTATCAACTTATACAAAAATGAACAATTATCTTTACATCAAAAATTATTGATACATTATTGGGTGGGTCCCGGCTATCAGCTAAATTTGTGGACTCACCCTGACTCTGCGGAAATTTAGTAGGTATCAATTCCATTAATTTTATTCAAACAGGGTAAGCCCATTAAGGGATAACGAGAGCGGAGTGTCTGTTTTGTTTGTCCAAATTCCCAGACAAATAAACTCACGAACGACAATATTAATTTGTACCTATTTTTCAAATTTGACATTGGGATAACTTTCAAGGAGACTTCTTCCGTGCTATTCCCCAATTAGAATACCATTTGCATGTCTGGACTTCGTTCGTGAAACATGCAAATTCTTATCTAAGGTGACACTTCAACCAAAGTCTTATCACCCCTTGTATTGTCATTAATCAGCTTTACCCATTCCAATACAAAATTACATCATTTATATTGCACCAAAACCATTGTTTATTTGTCCAAAACCACAAAGTTATGTTTAGGCATATCTTAATATTTCGAATGCTTCGGTTAGACTCCTTTTATAAGAGGATACTATGCTGCAACGGAGATTTCCAACCTTGGGCAGTTGGGAATTCCACATTCGAGGTCGGGTGACGCATCCTGGTGCCAGCAGCTCTCCGAGTTACAGAACATGCATCCATTGGGCGAAAGCGGGACGTTTGTCGAGAGGTCCACCATTTCCCACACTTTCTTCAGATCGGTAACCAGGGCATTCATCATTTCGAAAGTGTGGAAAGGAGTGGGGGCTAGCCTGAGTTTCTCCTGACCGCGGGCTACTGTTGGGTAATTAATTGACTGCAAGTAGTGTCCAAATTGTTCGATCAGCACGTTTGAGATTTGACTGCTTTTAAGAGGGTCGCCGATTTTGATGGGAATGATGTGACTTGGTGTTTCTTCGACGGGAAAACCTAAAACGGAGAATATAATATAGTCAGTAAACAGAAAGTAATGGCGCAGATATATATAGCCAACGTTTTAAATAAAACGAAAGTGCGAAAATAACCTTAAATTCGGGTTACATAAAGTCTAAAATTACACCTTACCTTCTCTTTTCAGCAAGTTCTTTAGGTACGAGACGTTGCGCTGGTGCATGTGTCGCAATTGACGACCTTCCTCCGATGCCAAGATATTGACAGCCTCCAGTGCGCCACAAAGCACAGTGGGCGGCAGCGAGGTGGTGAAGATGAAGCCAGCCGCATACGATCGGATCATGTCGACCAGCTTATCGGACCCAGCTATGTAACCCCCAATGTTACCGAACGCCTTGCCCAAGGTTCCCGATATGATGTCCATTTTGTGCAGCACACCCTCTTGTTCACCGACCCCGGCACCATGGTCGCCGTACAATCCCACGGCGTGCACCTCGTCGATAAACGTGATGGCCCCGTGCTCATGGGCCACGTCCAGCAGCTCTTCGAGCGGGCAGATGGCCCCCGTCATGGAATGTACTGTCTCAAATGCCACGATCTTGGGCGTGCTTTTGTCCGTCTGCTTAAGTAGCTTGTGCAAGTGGTCCACGTCGTTGTGCCGGAAGATGTGCTTGGGCACCCCGCTGTTCCGTATTCCCATTATCATGGAGGCGTGATTGCCCGCATCGGAGAAGATCTGGCAGCCTGGTAGGAGCTTGGCGAGCGTGAACAGCGTGGAATCGTTGGCCACGAAGCACGAAGTGAACAGCAGGGCAGCCTCCTTCTGGTGGAGCTCGGCCAGCTTTCGCTCAAGGCGCTCGTGGTGGAGCGAGTTGCCCGAGATGTTCCTGGTGCCGCCAGCACCCGATCCGTGCATATTGAGGGCCTCCTGAACGGCCCTTTTTACACTCGGATGCGCGGACATGCCCAGGTAATCGTTGGAGCACCACACCGTGATGGGCTTCTCCGTCCGCTCCGAGTACTCCAGCGCGTGGGGAAAGAGCCCGTCGCCAGCCAGACGATTGACCTTCTTGAAGACCCTGTAGGAGTGGTCGCGTTTCTTTTTCATGATCTGCTCGTTGAAGAAGCGCTCGTAGGGAAAGGTCTCCGAGGTCGCTTTTCCAGGGTCAGCAGATGCGGGTTTTGCGTCAGCAACGAACGCATTAGCATTAGACCCCGTCGAGTAAGACCTTGTAACACTTGGGGCGACGAGTGAAAGTTTTTTCTCGCCCGCACTCAAGGTCTTGCCAACCACGGGGCAATGCATCCCGTAGGATTGGCATAGCGTCTCCGCGTAATTGCGGACGAAGTTGGCGGTGAAGCGGTTCAGGAAGGGACACTGCATGACGAGACGATTTTCCACTTTTGAAGACCCGACCTAAATCAGCGAACTTTGAAAGTGAAGTGAGGTGTTTCGTAAATTATGCAAGAAGTGTGATTGCGGAGGTGTGATAAGTGTGGCCAAAGCGGCCGAATATCAAGAGCCCTCAATTTGTACCAGCTGACTTTCAAAAAAAATACTAAGCATTAGTTTCTGCTTCTAACGGTTTTTTTTGTCCTTAAGGGGAAGTCCCGTTTAGTGGACCCAAAAATATCATTTATTTGAATTTTTAATTGTAAATGCAAAAACATATTTTATTATTATTTAGAGAGAAATAGTTTTTATTTCAGTGCAATTGAAGGCAGTACATAAAATTAATTTTGCGAATGACGAAAACTAATAAAAATATGTTGAGAGAAAGTAGTTAGTTTAATTTATGTATTACGTTACAGTATTAAACAAAATTGTTGAAACTTTTTTGATATAGTTTTCAAAATAGCTAATTTGTTTTGACAAACGTTTCATCATCCACAATTTTAAAATTGTCCTCCCTAAAGTGGAGCAAGTTCTCATTGAAACACTTGCTGCTTTCGTTATGTAACTTTGTCATAACTGCTTTAATGTTTTTTACTCCAGCAGTTTCCGCCAGGTCCGAGAAATAGTTAATCTTGAAACGAATAAAGATTTGATTGAAGTACATAATATTTAAGTAAATGTAAATTATTCTTACTTGTTTAGGACCGAGCATATGAGCATGACGTTTCCTGTAGCCCGCTTCCCAAAGCTTGGCCATTTTTCCTTGGGTGTCCTTCTGCATTTCCTCTGTCGATGGCAGCTTATTGCATCCGTTGTAGTAGCTCATGATAAACCTAGCTTGAATGTCCATCATTTGGGCGGCACAGACGTAGAACGGCAAACCAATCAACGCCATCGATGGGTTTCTTATGTTAATGCACTGCTTATACAACTCCTGAACGTAGTTGTCCTCGACATAGATCCCAGAATTAACTGTCAGAAATGGGAAGGCATACTTATATCCTGTGCAAAAGAAAATAATGTCGAACTGCTCGTAGGATCCATCTACAAAAACGGCTCCCTTCTCATCCAGTTCCCGAACATCGGGTTTCTGCTGCACATTGTCAAAGAATATGTTTTCTCCAATATCAGTCAAGTGGTGACTTAAAGTAACTCGTTCCGCCGATCGGGAAATGATATTAGATAGGTCCATGCCACTTGGCCCAGCTCCAATAACAAGAACCGATTTACCTTGGTTTTAAATGAAATAAATCAGAATGTCTTCTTATTTTGCATGTGCCCTTATAATTACCTTCAAAAACTTCTCTACTTCTGAAATCGTGGCTGTGCATGTAACTGCCCTTAAAACGATTCATATTTGGAATTTTACTATAGTTTGGGGTGTGGTAATGCCCGTTTGCCACCATAACCTTATCGAAGTATTGGAATTCAATCTTGTTTGTAACAACATCTTTGAACAGGACCTGCAGACGGTTTGGTTAGAAATTGGTTAATTTATTTGACTATTTAACTTACCTGCCACTTGGAATTCCTTTGCACAACTCGAATAACATAGGTGTTAAACTTTATATGCTTTTTTAGTTCAAAGTGGTCGGCGTAATGGTTAAGGAAATCACAAATTTCGTCGGATCTTACATAGGAAGCTTCCTGTTGGCCAATTTCAAAGTCCGGAAAACCCATGACTTCCTTGGGAAGATTAGTGCTATTTTCGAATATACCCAAAAGTAATTGGTGTCGTGAAAGGTTTGGGAAAATAATGCCTACCGTAAATTTTTGTACATGCTGCTGTGAACATCGATGCCATTAACAACACCTGTTGCCTCATTGTAAACCCAGGTTCCGCCGATTCGGTCAGATAGTTCAAATACAGTCGTCCGAAAGCCGTTCTCAATGGAGTGTCGGGCACAGCAAAGGCCTGCTGTTCCAGCCCCAATAATGCATACGCTTATCATGTTACAGTTTATTATTATTAATTGTTTTTACGTGCGATACGCCGGAATCGCTTTCTTCACTCCGATTGCCTTAACGAAACTGAGGATCGCATCGTGATGAACTTTATGGCTTCCTCAACTTGTTATGCCCCTAGAAAAGTGGGGTACTTGGATTTGTATGATAACTATGAATTTTAAAATTTTAAATGGAAGCTAAAAAAGTTATAATAATTAATAAAAGAGTATGTACTAGTCGCAATTTAGTCAGATCACTTGGTTACTGATAACATTATTAAGCACAAGGCACTTTTTCGTCAGATCTCTATACCTGTTTTGCTTTATATACCCTTGCAGAGGGTATTTTAATTAATTAAAATTATTTTAATAAGGTAGATATTTTCGACGCTATAAAAAATATATTCTTAATCAGCTTCCTTGGGTGAGTTGATATAGTATGCTTCTACACTATTTTCGAGATCAGTTTTCAACATTTTTGATAAGGGGTTACATCATCCATTTTGGCGAAAAATCGACCAAAATGAAAATTTTGAGCTGTGAATGCCACTCGATTGGAAATTTTACAACCAATTCAACGAGGTATGACATTCCAACAGCAAACCATTTTTTCCCAGGTTTTTAATCAAAAAACCGAAATAAAAGTGCACTTTTCCGGATCTCCGGTTTTCGGCATTTTTGATAAGGGGTTACATCATCCATTTTGGCGAAAAATCGACCAAAATGAAAATGTTGAGCTGTGAATGCCACTCGATTGGAAATTTTATAACGATTTCAACGAGGTATGGCATTCCAACATGTGACCATTATTTCCCAGGTTTTTGATCAAAAAACCGAAATAAAAGTGCACTTTTCCGGATCTCCGGTTTTCTGCATTTTTGATAAGGGGTTACATCATCCATTTTTGAGAAAAATCGACCAAAATGAAAATTTTGAGCTGTGAATGCCACTCGATTGCAAATTTTACAACGAATTGAACGAGGTATGACATTCCAACAGCAAACCATTTTGTCCAATGGTTTTTCATTTTTCATTATCATATTTTGTCATCAATATTTGGTGTGACTGCAAGGGTGTTTAGACTTCGGTTTGGTCAAGTTAGCTCGCGTTCCCGTTTGTTAATAGGTTTACGGTTTACACACAGATGAAGCAACCACATATATTTATTTTATTGATATTTATTTTGCTGATAAGGGTACAAGCATAAAACAATATTCGCTACTGAGACCGTAGTCTGCTCGTTTGGTTCTATAGGTGAAGGTATGCGATTGGCAGATCAGGATCAGCATTGTATGTATAGAAAATTTTCGTGGATAATTGTGCCGGGTTTCTGTATCGTCTTCAATGTTATTCAGGATTTACTAGTTGTCGTCTTCTGGCTTTTAAGCTCACCAATGAGGAGTTATTTTGGGCGCTTACTTAGAAGTATTCATAAGTAATAAGTTATAAGTTAGAAGCTATAAATAAATCCATATTTATATTTTAATATAATAAATAAAGCTATTCTCTTTTTTGGAAGAGTAATTTAAAAAGTTAATATATAGTTAGCATAAGTTCAAATAAGTATTTTAAATATAAAAACATACATTTTATTTTATCTACAAAAACTATAAAAATAAAATTTGTATTTTTGTGTGCACACAAAAAATCAATTGAAATAACATTTGACTGTTTCACGACGAATAATTTCAAAGAAAACATAAATAAAAAATGAACGTTTCTCCAATAAATAAGACTCCACCCCCAGTAAAAGTTTTCCATATTTATTTTTTTTATAAAATCGTCTTTATTCAAATTATTTATTTAAGGAACATATAGGTCTAAGTTAACAATATGACTAGGAGTCATTCAGGAGATCAGGATCAGCATTCTCGGGGAAGTTTCCGTGGATAATTGGGCCGGATTCAGCAGTCGTCGTATCCTTCCGTTCCACCTTACCATCGAACATTTATATTAGTCGCTTATTATTGTTAATAAATAAACCTTTGATTACTTGGTTAAATAAATAAATTAAATGTGATTTCCCTATAATATTAGTAAAACTATTTACCTATACAATAAATAATAAATTAAGCTAATTTAATATTTACATATATGTACTAATAAGTTAAGTTAATATATAGTTAGGATTACCTCATAAAAACCACACTAATAAAAACAAAATTTACATAGCGAATTTGGTTTTTTTATTGGAATATGAATTCAGGCTTATAAAAGAAAGCAAAGATTCCTTGCTTTTAGCAAAACTTGAATGTTTGAGCTGGGAATGACACTTGGTTGGAAATTTTGTAACGAATTCAACTAGGTATGCCATTCCAACAGCAAACCATTTTTTCCAAGGGTTTTGATCAAAAAACCGAAATAAAAGTTGATTTTTCCGGATCTCCGGTTTTCGGCATTTTTGATAAGGAAAAATCGACCAAAATGAAAATGTTGAGCTGTGAATGCCACTCGATTGGAAATTTTATAACGATTTCAACGAGGTATGGCATTCCAACATGTGACCATTATTTCCCAGGTTTTTGATCAAAAAACCGAAATAAAAGTGCACTTTTCCGGATCTCCGGTTTTCGGCATTTTTGATAAGGGGTTACATCATCCATTTTGGCGAAAAATCGACCAAAATGAAAATTTTGAGCTGTGAATGCCACTCGATTGGAAATTTTACAACCAATTCAACGAGGTATGACATTCCAACAGCAAACCATTTTTTCCCAGGTTTTTAATCAAAAAACCGAAATAAAAGTGCACTTTTCCGGATCTCCGGTTTTCGGCATTTTTGATAAGGGGTTACATCATCCATTTTGGCGAAAAATCGACCAAAATGAAAATTTTGAGCTGTGAATGCCACTCGATTGGAAATTTTACAACCAATTCAACGAGGTATGACATTCCAACAGCAAACCATTTTTTCCCAGGTTTTTAATCAAAAAACCGAAATAAAAGTGCACTTTTCCGGATCTCCGGTTTTCGGCATTTTTGATAAGGGGTTACATCATCCATTTTGGCGAAAAATCGACCAAAATGAAAATTTTGAGCTGTGAATGCCACTCGATTGGAAATTTTATAACGATTTCAACGAGGTATGGCATTCCAACATGTGACCATTATTTCCCAGGTTTTTGATCAAAAAACCGAAATAATAGTGCACTTTTCCGGATCTCCGGTTTTCGGCATTTTTGATAAGGGGTAACATCATCCATTTTGGCGAAAAATCGACCAAAATGAAAATTTTGAGCTGTGAATGCCACTCGATTGGAAATTTTACAACCAATTCAACGAGGTATGACATTCCAACAGCAAACCATTTTTTCCAAGGGTTTTGATCAAAAAACCGAAATAAAAGTTGACTTTTTCGGATCTCCGGTTTTCGGCATTTTTGATAAAAATCGACCAAAATGAAAATGTTGAGCTGTGAATGCCACTCGATTGGAAATTTTATAACGATTTCAACGAGGTATGGCATTCCAACATGTGACCATTATTTCCCAGGTTTTTGATCAAAAAACCGAAATAAAAGTGCACTTTTCCGGATCTCCGGTTTTCGGCATTTTTGATAAGGGGTTACATCATCCATTTTGGCGAAAAATCGACCAAAATGAAAATTTTGAGCTGTGAATGCCACTCGATTGGAAATTTTACAACCAATTCAACGAGGTATGACATTCCAACAGCAAACCATTTTTTCCCAGGTTTTTAATCAAAAAACCGAAATAAAAGTGCACTTTTCCGGATCTCCGGTTTTCGGCATTTTTGATAAGGGGTTACATCATCCATTTTGGCGAAAAATCGACCAAAATGAAAATTTTGAGCTGTGAATGCCACTCGATTGGAAATTTTACAACCAATTCAACGAGGTATGACATTCCAACAGCAAACCATTTTTTCAAGGGTTTTGATCAAAAAACCGAAATAAAAGTTGATTTTTCCGGATCTCCGGTTTTCGGCATTTTTGATAAGGGGTTACATCATCCATTTTGGCGAAAAATCGACCAAAATGAAAATGTTGAGCTGTGAATGCCACTCGATTGGAAATTTTATAACGATTTCAACGAGGTATGGCATTCCAAAATGTGACCATTATTTCCCAGGTTTTTGATCAAAAAACCGAAATAAAAGTGCACTTTTCCGGATCTCCGGTTTTCGGCATTTTTGATAAGGGGTTACATCATCCATTTTGGCGAAAAATCGACCAAAATGAAAATTTTGAGCTGTGAATGCCACTCGATTGGAAATTTTACAACCAATTCAACGAGGTATGACATTCCAACAGCAAACCATTTTTTCAAGGGTTTTGATCAAAAAACCGAAATAAAAGTTGATTTTTCCGGATCTCCGGTTTTCGGCATTTTTGATAAGGGGTTACATCATCCATTTTGGCGAAAAATCGACCAAAATGAAAATTTTGAGCTGTGAATGCCACTCGATTGGAAATTTTACAACCAATTCAACGAGGTATGACATTCCAACAGCAAACCATTTTTTCAAGGGTTTTGATCAAAAAACCGAAATAAAAGTTGATTTTTCCGGATCTCCGGTTTTCGGCATTTTTGATAAAAATCGACCAAAATGACAATGTTGAGCTGTGAATGCCACTCGATTGGAAATTTTATAACGATTTCAACGAGGTATGGCATTCCAACATGTGACCATTATTTCCCAGGTTTTTGATCAAAAAACCGAAATAAAAGTGCACTTTTCCGGATCTCCGGTTTTCGGCATTTTTGATAAGGGGTTACATCATCCATTTTGGCGAAAAATCGACCAAAATGAAAATGTTGAGCTGTGAATGCCACTCGATTGGAAATTTTATAACGATTTCAACGAGGTATGGCATTCCAACATGTGACCATTATTTCCCAGGTTTTTGGTCAAAAAACCGAAATAAAAGTGCACTTTTCCGGATCTCCGGTTTTCGGCATTTTTGATAAGGGGTTACATCATCCTTTTTTTTCGAAAAATCGACCAAAATGAAAATTTTGAGCTGTGAATGCCACTCGATTGGAAATTTTACAACCAATTCAACGAGGTATGACATTCCAACAGCAAACCATTTTTTCCCAGGT